AGGATTGCCTGAGCCTGCTGGTTCGAGACCAGCCTGGGCAACTTGGCAAGATCTCATCTCTACAATAAAAATTAAAATACTAGCAGGGCATGGTAACGTGTGCCTGTAGTTCCAGCTCCTTGGAAGGCTGAGGTGGGAGGATCACCCAAGCCTAGCTGGTTGATGCCGGGCTTGCCGTGAGTGTGTCACTGCACTCTAGCCTGGGCGACGGAGTGAGATTCCGATCCCCCCAAAAATAAATAAATAAAAATTTAAAAAAAAATCAACACACAGGTATCTTTCCCTACACAGAACACTTTTTTTTTTTTTTTTTTGAGTCGGAGTCTCACTCTGTCATCCAGGCTGGAGTACAGTGGCACATTCACGCCACTGCAGCCTTGACTTGCTGGGCTCAGGCAATCCTTCTGCCTCAGCCTTCCAAGTAGCTGGAACTACAGGCATGCGCCACCACACCCGGCTAATTTTTTGATTTATTGTAGAGGTGAGGTCTCGCCAAGTTGCCCAGGCTAGTCTCGAACCTGTGCACTCAGGCACTCCTCTCACCTTGGCCTCCCAAAGTGCTGGGATTAAAGGCGTGAATCACTGTGCCTGACCCAGAACTATTTTTTTTTTTTTTTTTTGAGTTGGAGTCTCACTCAGTCGCCCAGGCTGGAGTGCGATGGCCACTCCTGGCCACCGTAGCCTCGACCTGCTGGGCTCCGGCGATCCTTCTGCCTCAGCCTTCCAAGTAGCTGGAACTACAGGCATGCACCACCACGCCCAGCTAATTTTTTTATTTATTGTAGAGGTGAGGTCTTGCCAAGTTGCCCAGGCGGGTCGCGAACCCGTGGGCTCAGGCAATCCACTCACTTCAGCCTCCCAAAGTGCTGGGATTACAGGCTGAGCCACCAAGCCCAGCTCAGAACTACTTTTTTAAGGTTATAATTCACATACAATTCACCAACTTAAAGTGTACAATTCAATGATCTTTAGTATATTCACAGAGTTATACAGCCACCATCACAGTCAAATTTAGGACATTTATCACCCAAAAAGAAGCCTCAGACCCTTTAGCAGTCACTCCCTACTTCTCCCCAAATCCTCTTTCCCTAGGCAACTACTAATCTACTTTCTATATCTGTAGATCTCCCTATGGAATCATGAAGATCATTTCTCAACCTTTATCCAAGTGTAGTATCTGTTCTTATCAGTTTAATATCCGATATGTCCGCTATCTGAGGATGTTAAAAAAATAAATAAATAAGTGAAATCATGGAATATGTGATCTGTTGTGACTGGCTTCTTTCATTTAGTCTAATTTTTCTAATTTCCTCTGTGTTGTAGCATGTATCAGTATTTTATTCCCTTTTTTGTGACCAAATAATACTCCATTGTGTGAATATGCCACATTTTATTTATTCACTCATTAGTTGATGTTCATTTAGGTTGTTTACATTTGGCTATTAGTAATACAAATAAAGCTATGTAAACATTCATGTATAAGTGTTTGTGTGGACATATGTTTCCATTGCTTTTGATTCTAGGAGTGGAATTGCTGGGTCACATGGTAACTGTGTTTAATCTTTTGAGGAGCAACCAGACTTTTTCCCAAAGTAGTTGCACCATTTTACTTACTAGCAGTGTATGAGAGTTCCAGTTTCTCCACATCCTTGCCAACACTTGTCATTATTTGTCTTTTATTTTTATTTCTTGAGTTGGAGTCTCACTCTGTTGCTCAGGCTAGAGTGCAGTGGCATGCTCACAGCCACAGCAGCCTTGACCTGCTGGGCTCAGGTGGTCTTTCCTCCTCAACCTTCCAAGTAGCTGGAACTACAGACACGTGTCACTATGCCTGACTTATTTTTTGATTTATTATAGAGATGAGGTCTCACCAAGTTGCCCAGGCTGATCGTGAACCCATAGGCTCAGGCAATCCTCTCACCTTGGCCTTCCAAAGTACTGGGATTATAGGCGTGAGCCCCTGCACCTGGCCCTATTAGTCTTTTAAATTTTAACCATCTTAGTGGTGTGAAGTGGAATCTCATTGTGTTTTGATTTGCATTTCTCTGATGGCTAAGATTCAAGGGTTTTTGTAAGCTGAATTTGCAATCAGGGTTGTCTGTTTGCCCAGTTATCACTGTCACTTGATGTGGTGATGGCTCCGATGGACTTGAGCCATTCAACCAAACACCTCCCACAAAGCCCCATCTCCAACATTGGGGATCACATTTAAAAATTTTTTTTTTAAGGCCAAGAGATTTACTAAAGCAGCGGTTACAAGGGAAAAGGGAAAGGGTCTGTGGAGAGAGAGAGAGAGAGGGGAAGTGGGAGAGAGGCGGGGAGAGAGCTGCAGAGAGGGAGAGAGCAACAGAGAGAGAGAGAAAGAGAGTGATCCTTCCACCTCAGCCTCCAAGTAGCCGGAACTACAGGCATGTGCTACCATGCCAGGATAATTTTTTTTTTGGTAGAGAAGAAGTCTCACCAAGTTGCCCAGGCTGGTCTTGAACCTGCAGGCTCAGGCAATTTACTTGCCTTGGCCTCCCAAAGTGCTGGGATTATAGGATGCGCCACCGAGTCTAGCTGGGATCACATTTTAACATGAGATTTGGAGGGGACAAATATACAAACTATATTATTTTTAAAGGTGAGCCAGAAAATTAAATATGTACTAACAATAATAGGTAATGAGATGTGATGGGGGAAGTGCAAAGTACCATGGAAGCACATAGTGGTGATGTCCAACCCAGTCTAGGGGTCTAGGAAAGGCTACTCAGAGAAAGTGGTGCTTAAATGGAAAGGTGACAGGTGAGGAATTGGCTACAGCAAAGGCAGTGTATGTGTGTGTGTGTGTGTGTGTGTGTGTGTGTGTGTGTATGTGTGTGTGTGTGTGTGCGCCTACGTGTGTAGTGTTTCTAGCAGGTGAAACAGAAGAGACATGGCACACTAAGGAGACTGAGATGTGTTCAGAATGTCTAGAGCAGAGCTGTCTAATATTAGTAGCACTTTCTGTTGATGGAAAAGTTCTCTCTCTGTGCTGTCCAATAGGATAACCATTGGCCCCATGTGATGACTGAGCATTTGAAATTTGGCCAATGGACCAGGTGTGGTGGCTCATGCCTATAATCCTAGCACTTTGGGAGGCCAACATGAGAGAATTGCCTAAGTCCATGGGTTTGAGACCAGCCTGGGCAACTTGGTAAGACCTCATCTCTACAATAAATCAAAAAATTAACCAGGCATGGTGGCACAGACCTGTAATTCCAGCAACTTGGATGGCTGAGGCGGAAGGATCTCCAAAGCCTAGCAGGTCAAGGCTGCGGTGGCTGTGAGTGTGTCACTGCACTCTAGCCTGGATAACAGTGAGGATCCGACTCAAAAAAAAAAAAAAAAAAGGAAAGAAAAGAAATGTGGCTAATGGAATAGTAGAACTGAACGTTTAATTTTATTTTAATAGAATTGATTTATTTTTTCCTACAACCCATATAGTAAATAATTGATTTCAATTTAAATAGCCACTGTGGCTAGTGACTGCCATATTGGATAGCACAGGTCTTGAGTGTAATGTGCATGACAAGAGGGTGATGAGAGATGAAGGTGGGTGATACAGAAGGGCAGCTGGACGGGTTCATGGTGAGGAGTTTGCATTTTATTCCAAGTGCATGGGAACTCAGGTGGTAGGGGTTGGGAGTTAAGTCAAGGAGTGAGGTGACCTGGTTTTCTTGCTTCCTCTCTCTCATTCTTTCATGCCTCAGCATCCTAAGTAGATGGGACTACAAGCGTGTACCACTCCCTGATATATTTTTTTTTCTGTAGGATATGGAGTCTTGCTAGGTTTCCCAGGCTGATTTTTAACTTCTGGCCTCAAACGATCCTCACACGGTGGCTTCCCAAAGTGCTGGAATTACAGTCATGAGCCACCATGCTTAACTGTTTTTCTGTTGTTTTTTTTTTGAGTTGGAGTCTCACTCTGTCACCCAGACTGGAGTGCAGTGGCTGCTCCCAGCCACTGCAGCCTTGACCTGCTGGGTTCCAGTGATCCTTCTGCCTCAGACTTCCAAGTAGCTAAAACTACAGGCGTGTGCTACCACGCCCGGCTAATTTTTGATTTATTGTAGAGATGAGGTCTCGCCAATGTTTTTCTGTTTTAAAAGATCATTTCAGTTAGACACGGTGGCATGAGCCTGTACTCCCAGTTACTTGGGAGGCTAAAGTAGGTATGAGTTCAGCCTGGGCAACATAGCAAGACCCTGTCTCTGAAAAAATAAAAATAAAAGGTCTCTGTAGTTGCCGTAAGGAGAATGGATTATGAGGGTGGAGGTGGGATAAGAGTGAAGTTGAAAGACCAGTTTGGAGATGGCTGTAGTTGCCTAGGGGAGAGATGATAGTGGCTTGAACTAGGTAGAAAGAGAGACAAATGTTGGAGGTAGAGCTGGGGCCAGGAGCTTAGAGTGAGGGAGAGGGAATCCTAGAACTACTTGGGTGGTGGCGGTATCCCCAAGCCACAAGGTTGAGTCCAGACCAGGGAGAGACGGTGAGGTTTGGTTTTAGCAGTACAGGCCCGCCTCCTTGTCCCCACCTGCTGGCTGGTGCTGGAAGAGCCTTTTTAATAAGGGGAACTCGAACCATCAGGGTGCCGAGTCAGGAGACTGGGGAAAGGTCCTGGGAGGTGGGAAAGTCCCCCATTCTGCTGGCTGGGTGGATGGGGCTGCTTTCCTGGGGCATCTGCTGGGCTGAGCCTCTCCTCTCCTTGGGGGCTATTCGCAGCATCTCTCTCCCAGGTGATGGGTCATCTGGACCCAGTTGTGGGCCACATGGCTGTTGGAGGGCGTGTGGTGGTGGTGGGGGGGGGGGGGGGCGGCAGATGTCAGTGTGGTGGAGCAAGAATCCCCCACCCCATGTCAGCTCCCACCAGAAGCAAGGTCCCAGCACCCAAGGGGGTTGCCTTTGGTTGCCCCCACCCCCACCTGAGACCTCAGGGGCTGGAGGCTGGAGAGGGCAGGGGAGGGGCGTGTCTCCCCGAGAGCAGGGTGTGGCCAGTAGTCCAGATGGTCAGTCTCTGGTGGCCAGCCCATCCAGAGAGCGGAGAGTTAAATCCCCACTCCCCACCGTGCTGGCTGGCTGGGTGAGCTGAGGGTGGGGAGCACCGAGAGACCACAACCCGCTGGCTGGTGCTCAGCGCTCAGAGCCGCGTAGGGAGGTTCCGCGGCTCCTCCGCTGTCAGCACCCGCCGCCCCTCCCGGCTTCACTTCCTCCCGCAGCCCCTGCCACACAGAGGCTCCGGGATCTCAGCGGCCCGCAGTCGGCGGCCGCCACGCCCTGGCCTCAGCCTGCGAGGTAAGTCGGTGGGCTGTGCAGGGACGTCGGAGGGGACCGAGCCCCCGGGGCTGACGGTGAATGAATGTTGGGGCGGGAAGGCCGAGTGGGCTCCTTGCTTCTCTAGCTCAGAGCCAGGGTCTACTTGGGGCTCCAGCTCCCTCTCCCTGGACCTCCAGACCCCTTTCTCTGCTGCCAGGCTGGGTGGGGGTCCCTGGAGGTGGGGGAGGGTCTGGACAGTCGGCTGTTGCTGCTGGGGCTTGGGAGTGGAAGGCAGAATGGGCCAGGGTTTGGCTGGAGACATAAACTGGGTTAAAAGGTATGTGGTGGGGGATGGGGGAAGGGGGATGCCCCCCTGCCCTTGTGTGGGCAAAAAGGGTGGTGGGTCATACTGCAAGTGGGTCCAGCCAGTCAGGTCCTGGCCTCCCCTACTTCTGTGGGAAAATGTCACACCTGGGTGCCCGGGGGCAGTGGCAGCCTAAAGCTGGATGCAAATGGGCCCAGGCCCTGTTCCAGCCCTTTCTTTCCACTTCCCCCTTCTCCCACCCTGCTGTCCCCCTACCCATCTCTGATTAGTTTTCCTTCTTTCTGCTCCTGCCTACTGGAGGACAGGGGCTTGCAATGCTTCTGGGCCCCCACCCTTGCCAAGTTCTGGAGGCTGTGGTTTCAGTTTTCCTGTGAGGGTGAGATTGTGCTGGCAGCTGAGCTTACTAGGGCCATCCTAGGGTCTGAGGCAGGGTGGCAGAGAGAACTTAGGCAACCGGCAAGGGATCTCCTTCTCCGCTTTGAAGCCCCTAGAGACCCCAAGGCACAGAGAGGTGGCATTTGAATCACTCAGAACTGAGTAAGACTGAAAATGTAGGCGGGCCCTGAAAGACTTTGAGAAGTGAAGGGGAACGTCATGGTAGAATGAGACGGTTTTAGGCTGAGTTCTGCCAACAACTGGTGACCTTGGGAAAGTCACTTCCCCTTTCTGAGCCTTAGTTGTCCTGGCAGCCAAATGAAGGTTTTGATAGATCAGTGGTTTTCCCAACGGTTTCCCCTTAGAACTCCCCTTCTGAGTTGAGGTGTTGAGTGACATGCGCTCTTCTAACCACTGCACTTTTTTTTGTTTTTGCTTTTTTTGAGTTGGAGTCTCATTCTGTTGCCCAGGCTGGTGTACAGTGGCACGCTCACGGCCACCGCAGCCCTGACCTGCCGGGCTCAGGTGATCCTTCTGCCTCAGCCTTCCAAGTAGCTGGAACCACAGGCATGTGCCATGACGCTCAGCTAATTTTTTGATTTATTGTAGAGAAGACGTCTCGCCAGGTTGCCCAGGCTGGTCTTGAACCCCTGAGCTCAGGCAACCCTCTCGCCTCCCAAAGTGCTGGGATTACAGGCATGAACCACCACGCCCAGCCACTGCACTTTTATCTATTGTGAATACTGGCCGCTAGACAAGATATTATCAAGAGAAAAGGTTCAGGAAATCCCAGGGAAAAGTCAGGAACAGTCATGGCTCTTCCTAGGGGACAGCATCAGAGAGGCGGCCCCACTGGGTCCCTGTCCCAGGATGTTGGGCTGTCCTCAGACCACAAGGCCTCCCTCCCTCTCCTTACCTCTGCCTTTCTCCTGGCTCACTTCCCCTCCCACTGGGCCAAGCTCTTGTTCAGTGGATGGATTATAGCCACTCAGCTTCTACACATTTCATTTTGCAGGCCCCAGCCAGGCTGACCTCGACCCAGGGCCGGGAAGAAGGGACCCTTGACATCTCTATCCACAGAGATTCCAGAGCTGGACTGAGCAGCCTCCTCCCCTTAGAATGACCTCACCCTCCAACCCTCCAGCTTTCAGGCTGGAAACATCAGATGGAGATCAAGAAGATGGAACTGAGGTGGACAAAGGAAAACTGGGCTTTGGGGGAGGGCCACCCCCCATGGAGTCACCGTTCCAGGGCGAGGACCGGAATTTCTCCCCTGAGATCAGAGTGAATCTCAACTACAGAGGGAGAGCAGGTCCCAGGTGAGGAAGCAGATGGGGGTGCTCTAGCAGAGTACCCCATTAGATTCATTGACCAGCCCAGCATCAGTGCCCCCTTTCTTCCCTACAGCCTGTGGCATACTCATTCTGGCTCTGGTGACTCCTAAGCCTGACAGGCTGACCTCTGTTTTGCTATCTGGGGTTGCTCCTTCCAGAATCTTCCTCATTCTTGGCCTTCTGCCCTGTTCTGTTCTTCTTCACAGGGACACATTTTTCCAGCTCCAAAGACTCAACTGACCCTTTGTTCATGCCCTGACTCTCACTCCTGTCATGATCCCTGTGAGGGAAGGTAGCAGGATCCATATCCTTCCAAGAAGAATAAGGATGTCTGGAAATGTCCAGGGTACTCCTCAGTTCTGCCCCTGAACCTGTCATCCAGGGGATGTAGACTCTGAGGATTGAGGATCATGGGCTCCTGCTTGGAGTCACCTGTGCTTTGAAATTCCTGTGGGCTTTCTACCAATTCAGATTGTGCAAGCCCACTAGTGATTTCTGGAAGTCCTGCTTCCAGTCCTGCTGCATCTGGTGTCATCTGCAAGGGTGAGACCTGCCCAATGAGACTGGAGTATCCTCATGGGTCTTGCAAAACTCTGCCAGGGAAGCCCCTTCTTTCTTCCTCATGCTTGAGATATAGCCACTGGCCTTGGCTTCTCAGGTTATAGCCCCCTGTACTGTTTGCGCTAGAGGACTGTGGTCAAATTCAACATCAGGGCTGGAGGTGATGCATGTGGAATTTTGGGGGGCTGTGTAACCTGCCCCACAGAGGAGAATGGGGCCCTAGATGCCTTCCATGGCTCAATATGGGCCCTCATTGGGCTCCTCTCCTTCAGGACCATGGTGCCACCCTGGTGACAGGAAGCACCTTGTTCCAATGAACACGTCCCCCCCCCCCCCCCGCTGGAGTGCCTGCAGGGCTCTGAGTCAGCAGCAGAACCCTCTTGGCCATGTTGTGGCCACGTAATCTGCTGGGTGGATGATGGTATGTCTGACCAGGGTAAGGTAGATGTGCAGTTTTCTGGTGTTGAGGAGGCATGGGCCTGGCTGTACAGCTTAAAATGTGACTAATCCCAACAGTCACCTCATATATCTAACAGTCGCCAGCCCTTACTTGATTGGCCCATTCTATGGGTGAGGTTAATCTGGGACCTGAGGGTTCCCAAGCATCAAATAGTCCTCCCTCCTTTGTATGTCCCTTCATATTTGCTTGTGATGGAGCCCAGAGGCAAACTGTGAATAGTGACACAGGCCAGGAGGAAGTGCTCCACACCCTTCCCCTTGCTTGTCATCAGACACTGCTAGATTCTGATAAGCTACTAGACCCTATCTGGGGACTGTGGGAGAAATTTCCCCAAAGTATGCTTCTCAGTAAAACTCTAGATAGGTTTTAGTGTTGGGCTCATGTGATACTCTGTCTCTGGGAAATCTCTTGCTGTCCAACCTAGAATCTCTCTGGGGGTTCAGGGTCAGGGTTCAGAATTAGACGGAGAATTAGATCATGAGATCCCCGGTTCTGCACCATGTGACTTTGGGCAAGTTATGTTACTTCCTTGATTATCTAACAGAGAAAAGTGTGGTTCCTGATCCATAGGGCTGAAGTACAATTAAAGACATAAGCTGGGCTCGGTGGCTCAGCCTGTAATCCCGCACCTTTGGGAGGCTGAAGTGAGTGGATTGCCTGAACCCGAGGGTTCGAGACCCACCTGGGCAACTTGGCGAGACCTCATCTCTACAATAAATAAAAAAAATCAGCCAGACGTGGTAGCGTGTGCCTGTAATTCTGGCTACTCGGAAGGCTGAGGTGGAAGGATCGCCGGAGCCCAGCAGGTCGAGGCTGCGGTGGCCGGAGTGGCCACTGCACTCCAGTCTGGGCGACAGAGTGAGACTCCAACTCAAAAAAAAAACACCAAACAAAGATATAATTAGCTGGATGTGGTAGTGTGCACCTGTAGTTCCGGCTACTTGGAAGGCTGAGGTGGAAGGATTGCCTGAGCCCAGCAGTTTGACGCTGGGGTGGCCATGATTGGGTCAGTGTACTCTAACCTGGGCAACGAGTGAGACTCCAACTCAAAAAAAAAAAAAAAAAAAGATATAGAATATTTTGAGGTCAGTAGATGGCTTCTATTCCTTTGTTGAGGCCAGTGGTGCTTGCAGCCACTACCAGTCTGTGGGGACCTCCTGTGGCCCTGTCCAGACCAAGACTCAAGCTCAAGTGCCACCCCAAGTTGCATGTGCTGAAATAGACCCCATGGGATAATGAGTCTGTTAAGAGATGATGCATCTCTGGGCGCGGTGGCTCACGCCTGTAATCCCAACACTTTGCGAGGCAGAGACAAGAGGATTGCCTGATCTCAGGTGTTCAAGACCAGCCTGGGCAACTTGGTGAGACCTCATCTCTACAATAAAACTCAAAAAATTAGCTGGATGTGGTGGCACACGCCTGTAGTTCCAGCTACTTGGAAGGCTGAGGTGGAAGGATTACCTGTGCCCAGCAGGTTGGGGTTGTGATGGCTGTGAGCGTGCCATTGCACTCCAGCCTGGGTGACAGAGTGAAATATGACTCAAAGAAAAAAGAAAGAGACGATGCATCAAGACACCTGGAAAATGATAAGCACTGGATACTGAAAAGTAGCCGTGATGACTGGAGTCGTGGGAAAGATGCAGATTAGTGCCTGGGCAGGTGCCTCTTCCTCCTGCTGGGGCTCTGAGCACTTGAGGGCTCCTTGGTCTTCCCTGGGAGGGCAGAGGCCCTCAGAAGGGTTCCCATGGATCTTCTGGACCTGAGGGGTGTGCAGCACTTATAGGATTTCTTGAAAGGGCTCCTTGGGATGGGAGACTTCTGGGGAGCCTATGGTTCTTCTCCAGCATGAGTAACAAACCACATCACCCACAGCCAGCCGGACCCAACCCGCTTTGACCGAGACCGGCTCTTCAGAGTGGTCTCCCGGGGTGTTCCTGAGGATCTGGCTGGACTACCAGAGTACCTGTGCCGGACAAGCAAGTACCTCACCGACTCGGAGTACACAGGTAGATCCTGCCCCATGGGGCCAGGGCTGCAGCATCCTGTGGGCTGATAGTTGGGTTGGCTGGGTGGGCCTGGACCCTGGACAGGAGCTGAGGGGTGAGTGTTCTTAGCAGGCTTCTTTCTGGGGTGATTCCCGGGGAGCCCTGTGGATGGAGCCGTGCCAGGACAGCCTCCTGACAGTCCTAGCTGTGCCTCCCACTTTCACCCACTTCTCAGGGTTCCTGGGTACCTCTGCCACCTCTAATCCATTGTGGTGGCTGAATGGATACTTAAAGCCTTCTTCCTTTTTTTTTTTGAGTTGGAGTCTCCCTCTGTCACCCAGACTGGAGTGCAGTGGCCGCTCCCGGCCACCGCAGCCTCGACCTGCTGGGCTCTGGCAATCCTCCCACCTCAGCCTTCCAAGTAGTCGCAATTACAGGCATGCGCTACCACGCCCGGCTGATTTTTTTGATTTATTGTAGAGATGAGGTCTCGCTGCCCAGGCGGGTCTCGAACCCATGGGCTCAGGCAATCCACTCACCTCAGCCTCCCAAAGGCGCGGGATTATAGGCTGAGCCACCGAGCCCGGCCCTTCTGCCTTTTAAAAAATAAAATAAAATAACAGCATCGTTGAGATATAATATATAATACACATACGAGGCCGGGCATGGTGGCTCATTCCTATAATTCCAGCACTTTGGGAGGCCAAGGTGAGAGGATTGCCTGAGCCCACAGGTTCAAGACCACCCTGGACAACTTGACAAGACCTCATCTCTACAATAAATCAAAAAATTAGCCGGGCATGGTGGCGTGTGCTTGTAATTCCAGCTACTTGGAAGGTTGAGGTGGAAGAATAAACTAAGTCCAGTAGGTCGAGGCTGCAGTGGCCATGAGTGCATCACTGCACTCCAGCCCGGGCAACTCCAACTCAAAAAAAAAAATACACATTCCATATATCTCACCCATCTCAGAGCACTCTTTGCCCAAAATCTTAGTATCTTTATTGTTTGGGCTGATTAGAAAAATAGCATGTGTGTATTCTAGAAGATTAAAACAGTGAGGAAATATATAAAGCCAGAGGTAGAAACAGTCTGTCATCCTGGGCCCTTGTTAATGGTTTAGGATGTATCTTTTCAGACTTTCTTAATACATTAGATATATGTTCACATAAATGGGGTCTTGGCATATATATTAATATGTGATGTTTCTCCCACCCTGATTGACTGAAACTTGTGGCACTTTCCTTCTCAGTACATGCCTAACTTAGTCATTTTAACACCTGCAGGGTGAGTTTTCCATTGTGTAAATTTACCATAATTTAGTTAACCAATTCCTTTAGGTTGTTTGTAGTTTTTTACCTCAATTAGCTGTGTACCAGGCCCTCTGTGTGCTAAGGACTTTGTTTATATTATTCCATTTGAACCTTACAATAACCCTGAAATATTCCCATTTTACCATAAGGAAAACTTAGGTGAAGAGAGGCCAAGTGGCTGGGCACGGTGCCTCTTGCCTATAATCCCAGCACTTTGGGAGACTGAGGCGAGAGAATTGCCTGAGCCTATGGGTTCGAGACCAGCCTGGGCAATATGGTGAGACCTTGTCTCTACAATAAATTAAAAAAGTAGCTGGGCGTGGTGGTGCATGTCTGTAGTTCCAGCTACTTGGAATGCTGAAGTGGAAGGATCATCTGAACCCAGCAGTTTGAGGCTGCAGTGGCTGTGAGCGTGCCACTGCCCTCCAGCCTGGGTGACAGAGTGAGACTCTGACTCAGGGAAGAAAAAAAAAAGGAGAGAGGCCAAATGACTTGCCAGAGGAGACAAAAGCATTAAGTGCTGGAGTGCTTACAAATTACTGCTCTGCATGTTCTTGTACCCACATTTCACAAATGATGAATTATGTCTTAGAAACTTAGTTTCTAGGGCAGAAATTGTGGTCATATCGGTTGGTATTTTTTTACCTGCTGCCTGGAGCCTTAATACCCTGTAACATGGTTGCGCTCCCACCAGTTGTGTGTAGCTGTCTTTTTTTATCCTCCCAAGGGGTACTTTAGAGCCTGGACTTGCTGTACAAGCTGGCAGGCAGCCCAGCTGCTCCAGGTCTGAGCACCACTGTGCCCTTTCCCCTCCCTTTTTCCCACAGAGTGCTCCACAGGGAAGACGTGCCTGATGAAGGCCATATTGAATCTTCGAGATGGGGTCAACGCCTGCATCCTGCCACTGCTGCAGATCGACCGAGACTCTGGCAATCCTCGGCCCCTGGTCAATGCCCAGTGTACGGATGAGTACTACCGAGGGCACAGCGCCCTGCACATTGCCATCGAGAAAAGGAGCCTACAGTGTGTGAAGCTTCTGGTGGAGAATGGGGCTGATGTACATGCCAGGGCCTGTGGCAGCTTCTTCCAGAAGAGTAAAGGGACTAGTTTCTATTTTGGTGAGCGAGCCTTTCTTGGATAAATTGAGGCACAGAGGGGATAAGGCCTTGTCCATGGTCACGTGGTTAGTGTGTGACAGAGTGGGCACTTAAATCCAGGTCCATAGGAACCCGATGCCCAGCTTCTAACCATTAGGCCGCCTGCAGAAGCAATTTGTCTTGAGGGAATTTTTATCCTTCTGTAGCCAAGGAGGGTCAGCAGGGACCCAAGCCCAGACCCGAGGAGGGGAGTGAGTTGCTAGAACTGGTGTATGTTGAGACTCAACCAAGAAGAGCCTAAATAAAGGGGCAGTATGCCTAGGTTCTGGTAAAGAAGAGCAAGAGGCAGGGGAGATGGGAACCCTGGTGGGCTGGCCTCCGTTATGCTCCTTTAGAGGTAAAGAGTCCTGACCCGCTTCGAGGCAGTCTGGCCTTCTGTCCAAGGAGCATGAGAAATAGGCAGGTAGAAGCTTGGAAGCCTGAGGCCCAAGCTGCCCTCTTGGCCCGCAGGCGAGCTGCCCCTTTCTCTGGCCGTGTGCACCAAGCAGTGGGATGTGGTGAACTACCTCCTAGAGAACCCGCACCAGCCCGCCAACCTGCAGGCTGTCGACTCCCAGGGCAACACGGCCCTGCACGCCCTGGTGAAGATAGCGGACAACTCGGCAGAGAACAGTGCACTGGTGATCCACATGTATGATAGGCTCCTCCAAGTTGGAGCCTGCCTCTGTCCCTCCGTGCAGCTTGAGGACATCGCAAATCTACAGGGTCTCACGCCTCTGAAGCTGGCCGCCAAGGAGGGCAAAATTGAGGTGAGCAGCTATCTCCCACTCCCAGGAAGCTATAGGACTCACCCCAGGATTTCTGCAGAAGGGGCTTGCAATGGTGGTTGAGAGCAGTGACCTCTCCACTTTTCCATAGAGCACTGCTATTTTAATCAGAACATGTTTAGTATGCACCTCTGATATATGTGTATTTATATATTATATGAGTATATAAACTACAACATTATAAAACATGGGGATTTTTAAAAAGGCATTTGGGTTTCTTTATTAGGAGACATTTAAAAATATCCTTTACCTATTTTGCTATTAGATTTGTTATTAAGTTTTCTGCATACTGACTGGCAACTGTTTATAATGAATTTACTCTTTTGTCTACTATAACACTTGCAAATTTTTCTCCTAGTTCATTGTTTTTTGAAGTTTATGCTTTTTTTTTTGCCGTGCAGAATTGTCTGCAAGTATAATTATCTTTTCCTTTAAGTTTCCTTGGTTTTTCTATTGCTTAATTCCTGATACAAGATTATGTATATAATATATTATATATAATACATGACATATAACATTTTATAATCATTATATATTTTATAACATTATATTATGTATTATAATATTATATAGAATATATATAATCTCCATATCCATATTTTCTTTCAAACTTTTGCAGTTTCTTTTTATTTTATTTTATTTATTTATTTTTTCGAGTCAGAGTCTCATTCTGTCACCCAGGCTGGAGTGCAGTCGCATGATCATGGCTACTGCAGCCTTGACCTGCTGGGTTCAGGTGATCCTTCAGTCTAAGACTTCCAAGTTGCTGAAACTACAGGCACACACCACCATGCCTGGTCAATTTTTTGACTTTTTGTAGAGTCGAGGCTCATCAAGTTGCCCAGGCTGGTCTTGAACCCCTAGACTCAGGTGATCCTCTTGCCTCTGCCTCTCAAAGTGTTGAGATTATAGGTGTGAACCACTGCACCCGGCCACAGTTTCAATTTTCATACCTAAACCTTTTATTTAGCTGGAAGTGATTTTGGTAGAGAGTGAGCATGATGTAGCTCCACTTTTTTCCATACGGTTTACCAGTTGTCTCATTCTTATTATCAGGGCTGGCTTCATAGGCATACAACCTGTGCAGTTACATAGGGGCGATGCTTAGAAAGTGGGAGTTGCCAGGCTCGATGGCTCAGCCTGTAATTCCACGCCTTTGGGAGGCTGAGGTGAGTGGATTGCCTGAGCCCGCGGGTTCAAGACCCACCTGGGCAGCGAGGCCTCATCTCTATAATAAAATAAAAAAATCAGCCGAGCGTGGTAGCACATGCCTGTAATTCCGGCTACTCGGAAGGCTGAGGTGGAAGGATCGCCGGAGCCCAGCAGGTCCAGGCTGCAGTGGCCGGGAGCAGCCACTGCACTCCAGTCTGGGCAACAGAGTGAGACTCCAACTCAAAAAAAAAAAAAAGAAAGTGGGAGTTTTTTAAATGTTAAGATAAAAATAAATATAAATAGAGGTTTTAATCCTTTTTTCCTGCCTTCCAAGTTTTTGGAGCGCCTTCTGGTATGTGTGAACCTCATTTTGTTTCTAGAGGCACTGCCATGTGGCCTGGGGAAGCCACCCCCCCCCCCCCC